TAATTATTTATATTTAATTTTAAAATTATGTAATATATTATATATGTATGAATTTTATTTATTTTTTAGTCTAAATTTTTTAAAATTATAAAATGTTTATGAATAAATTGTCATTATTATTATGTTAATTTTATTATTTTTAATTATATTATTATTTATTACATCATCCGGTTCGACCGGTCGAACCATGAACCTCTCATTCTTCCGGTTCGTTGTCCGGTCCGGTTTTCACAACCTTGATTAAAAGCTTACCAATTCCACGTTTAATGATCCCAACTGCTATAATCAGAATATATACATTCAAAAGTTATATTACAATAAATTATTTAAATTTATTAAAAATGATGAGCTTCTTTGCACGTCTATTAGTAGATGCAGCCTCATTTTATTAATATTTTGTTTGATTTGAAGTAAAATAAATATAATATAAACTCCAAATATAAGCCAGTTTTAAGCCGATGGGATGTGGCTGTCGGCAATGGCAAGTGATTGCCAGTGAGCATTAGTAATAGGTGCGGCAATGGCTGGTGGTGATATGCAGGCGGGAGGTGGCGACGACATAGTTAGCTTACTCATCCAAAATCTAAAGAATTCTAAATACACTAAAATTTTACACTATATTTATTTTACTTCAAATCAAATAAAAACATTTTTAAAGCCCTCGCATTTGAAAATTTTTATAAGTGTGAATCTTTGTAAAGTGTAACATTACACAAAAAAAATAAAAATCAATAAATAGCATTGCCATTAAAAAAAAAACCAAAAAAAAGTTCCATAGCACCCAATAATTGCAACTTTAACTAACATAGTACTTCTGCATCATATGACTTCAAAACATTATAACAAACTAAGTTCACACATAAAAATATTTATATATAGGCTCATGCATGGAAACTAAATTCATTGTTTAACTCATGAGTTTTAAATTCATGGATGATACTAACTGATGAGCAGTTCAGTGAGACTTAACAAATTCTTGAACAATATGAAGACCCTCTGACTCTTCTCCATAGTCCTGTAAATCAAATAGGTATTACAAGCTCCAATGAAATTACAGGCATTATGACTTATCAATACCAAAGTACAAAATAATTATTTGCAAGGAAAAATGATTATTATAAAATGCATTTACCTTAACTACCAAGCAAGAGCAGCCAATAACCTTCCTTGCTTTTCCCTCTGAGTCATATTTGCAGAGCTGCATCACAATATAGAAACACAAACCTTCAGATAAGCAACAAATTTAAGCTTCGTTTAGGACGGCTTTTTTATTGCTTCTTAAAACAGCTTTACTAAGAAGCTGTTTTAAGAAGCACAGGAAAAAAGCTGTCCCAAGCTTCGTTTGAGTAAACTACCTTATTCGATCCGCTCTGAACATATTTCGTATCTAATGGTCAAGCCATAGGTTTGGAACAAATGTTGGATCTTTATTCAAACAAGAATCAAACACTGAATATGAAGGAGTTTGAATCATGTTCGTTTAATCAAACTTAGGGTTCTCTTTCCACCTTATTATAATCAAGGATCGATGACTACATTCAAAATTATTTTTAAAAAGTTTAACAATAACCTTCTATTCATTTGATGGGTCTCACAATAAAGGTTTAGAACTGAGAGATCACTCAAAGGCGAAGAAAGACACTTGAAAAATGGGGATGAAGCTTGAAAGGTGGATGTTTCAACAAGCATCCCGTTTGAGCATTCACAATCTCACTAAAGACTATGGCTTTGTTTGGGTTGGCTTTCTTAATGCTTTTTAAAACAACTTTTCAGTACATTAATCCATCGAGACACTTCACTTCGAAAGATAGTGATGTCACTAGGAGTTAGCGTCAAAAGCTAGGGGTGCAAGAGAGCTGAGCCGGCTCGAGCTCAACTCAATAACGAGCTTGCAAGCCAAGCTTAGATAAATCAGTAAATAAAATTTTCCCACTAATAAAATATACTGTTAATGATAAAAATAACCAGCTTATAAAAAAAACGATTTGAAGAAAAAAATCTATGTTCCCAAGAAGAAAGTAATAAAAGAGACAGCTATATAATAGTTGATTTGATAAAAGCAGCAGGTATATAATAGCTGATTTGATAAAATAATAATAATAACAAAAAAGATCCCAAATGTCCCTTAGAGAATAGAGACAAAAAACAAAAATAAGATTAGCTACAACGACAAAAATAAAGAACATGCATAAATATAGCAGGAGAGAATAGAAGATAAATGGTAACAAAAAAATAGGGAAATGAAAAATAAATGCATCATAATTAGCATCGAATCAAGGGCATGAGTGAAAACCAGAGCAGAACCCATAGTATTTGAAATTGAAAACCAATTCAATCAATGTGAAGCAATTTCCAAAACCAAAATAAAGCAATTCAAAAGTGGCAGAGAACTAACCCCAGACCACTCTCCAAGTGTTTTGGCACTTGGAACGGTCACCAAGTGTACGTTGTGATCCGCACAAAGAGCCTTGACCAGCTTCACATAATCTGGTTGGTCGCAATCCTCGGCAAGCACGCAAAGCTGTGCAGTATGCTTTTCAACAGCCTTGGCTGCTTCATGTAGTCCACGGACAAGCCCGTCATGCGCTAATGACTTCTTTAGAACAAGCTGCAGGGCAGTCAAGAGGTCCATCGGCTGTCCAAGAACAGAAGCAGGTGCTTCTGCAGGGATACCATCTTCCCTGCCATGGCATAGAAAATTAAGGGTGTGTTATCCACAAAGAAGAATTCATAGGAGATTATATGATAACATCAGCTTATAACTCTTTTTCTTTTGCTGATTGTAAAAAACGCATTTAAAAGTAAAAGCTCCACAAATATGCTCAAAATCTCCTCAAATATAGTGATTTCAATTTCACAAATAGAATGAGTGAAAATAGAATTATGATTTGTTGTGAAATTTACATACATATCACTTTATAACATCCTATTTACATATCTAACACCTAAAACTTTAATATTACATACATACCACAATATACTATTTTAATATCAAATATGACACTCATATTTCCTTCCTACCACTCATATTTTTCATTTCTATCACTCATATTTGATATATAAGTGTTAGATATGTAAATATAGTAGTATAGAGTGGAATGTATGTAAAGCTCCCTTTTTTAAAACATGTTTTTGCCTACAAGCAACCAAAAATGCATAGCAATAAAATAAAAAAATGTTGTATATCTCATGCAACTACAACTACTTGGATAATTTATTTAATGCCTAAAGGTCAACAATCTACAAAATCTGAGGATTCAAACCATACAGTGTATGTTTGGTCAGTTCATAGGAGATGTCTGTATCCACCCATCTCGTCTCCCTGGCTTGATGGAGATGAACACTAAAGACAGTATGGTATATTGCAAACTTGGAATGAGCCGTTGAGGTTTTCTTTTATGTTGAACTCTCTTTTGCATATTAGTAGAGACATACTAGAAAACGGCTGCATCAACACATATTTTGTGCTACAAACTCATCAATTCCTACTTTATTATGGTTGGCGCATAAAATGTTCCTTCTTGGTTGGATAAAATAGCCATTCAGAACAACTACGATGGGATTGAATACAAATAAGAATTAAATTTGGTCAAAATTACAAGTAAAAATATAAGAACACCGTGTTTCATTAAGTTAAAACAATATAGGTACCGCCTTCACAACATGTACTTGCAAAAAAAGTTAAATAATGTACCACAAAATAGGACAATTCTAGGATGAATATAAACATATATTAGACAATCGTCCCAGCAATATGAGTTCTTTCATGTTGAGTGCTCTTTGAGGAGTTGAAGCATATTTTTTGCTAATCATTTCGCACAACTTCATTCCATATAGCCATAAGTCTACCCATTCACATATCTAATCCTTTATCTACTCATCTAATAGCACATTTTTTCATCTTGAAAGTTCATCTTGCATTAATTAAAGAGAATAAAGAAGTACCAAAGAGTACATGCTAGTGCGGAAACTACTATCTATGTCTTCTCTGGACAAAAAATAAACAAAAGAGAGAAGAACTATGTTATCAGTAACTATCCATACGTGAGTACAACCAAAACTAAAATAAGCAAGCAAGGAAGAAACAAAGAGCCCCTCCCTTAGCTGATAATGTGAGGTCCCTTATGTTAGTGTAGTAAGGACCAACAAAACAAACAAGAAACCACTCTAGAGGAGGGGATTCCAAAAGGGGGGTTGAAATAGCCATAAGGGCTAGTTAGTATCCCAAAGCTCCCGCAAAGGTCTTGTTCGATTGTGGCACCCATTACAGCCCACATAAGATCTCAACATTGTTCACCTGAGGGGACCACGTCCCCTCCATGATATCATTTGGTGTCTTCTTTCTCTTCCGTTTAACTGTGTTAATAGGCCCCAACTACAATAGCACTTTATCAAATGTGCTTGTGATACTCTGCGTTGTTGTTTTGTAAGATTCAAGACTGTATTAGAAGAAACCTCCAAAGGCTTGTTTTTTATAGCAGAAAACAGAACCTATGTTAAGCTTGCAATCTTTTTTCCCTGAACTCTGGAGTAGTGATCGGAAGTAGTCACCTTTGGTTTCAGCTTCCTCCTAGTGATAAGGGTCCATGATCCATACTCCTCAAAGGAGCTTTCCAAGTTTTGTTGAGTTGAGAGGCCTTATGGTGGGCCAAGGCTATTGTCATTTTGAGACAATTAGCTAGTATCACAGGCTACATATGAGAGGAAAATCTACCTTGGTGTTCCTCACAAATGGGCTGGCCAGAGGTAAAGGGTGTTGCAAATTATGTTTAAGTGTGCAAAGAAGTACGTGATTGCACCTTGGTCGATTGTGCTGAGATCTGGCCTAATCCTGTTCAGTTTTGTGACCAATGTTGTCCCGACACAACCCGGAGGCTCAAATTAACGATATTGGAACAAACGGTCAGACGGTTGATTAAATTTCATTTGCTAAAATTATCTTCAATAAACTGAAAGAGTCACTAAAACATCAAAACATTTAAAATTCAAATAATATAAATACCTTTATCTCGGAATATCTCGCCTACAATATACATTCTCTTCTTTTTTGTTCATTTTAGTTAATTGAATTATACCTATAATTATTTTTTAATAGGAGCAAATCATAACATAACCCAGTGAGTAAATCATGCTTCTAAATTATAATAACACAAGACATTGGGAATATGCATGCTCAATTTAAATCATAAAGTAATTCTATTTAATCATTTCAATCATGAAATTTAATGTTATGCATATATCATATCTTTAACCTTTCTCGTAAACAATACAATAATCACAGGAGTCGCCGTCTAAAATAATACCAATGAAGATACTTATTTTCCATTTTGATTTTTTTTATTTTTTTCATTTACATGCACGGGTACATTGCATCCCCATTCAGTACCATAAAGGAGTATGTTTCATCATTCAACATATACATGCAAACATATATATATATATATATATATATATATAAACATGACCAATCATTGAATATGAGAATGATAAATTATAATCTAGTTTGCAATAAAGATTTAATAAAGAGGTGTTACTATTTTTCAATGCATTTATTTTAAGAGAGAAATGAAATTATTACTGTAATTAAAAAGACATGAGTACTCACATTGATTTAATTAGCTTTTGGCCTTTTTATCCTTGATCTGACTTCAATAATATAACATATATATGAAGACTTTATTGTTAAAATTTAAATAATGAGTTGCTCTTGATTTAATTTATATTCTTTGTCTCCATAATTTATATGCATAAAATTTGCTCATAAATATGCACTATTGATTATTCTTAAAATCAAATTATGATTATGTTCAATTATATGACATTACATAAAGATTTTAATTTTAAATTATGCAAGCATAATTTTTAAATATTAATTAAAATTAATCTTTAATTTATAATTCCATCAATTCTAATAATTTAATTATAAAATAAGATCTTAAGTTTTAAATCTTTCTTTGCATTAATCAATCTTCTAAATGTTCTCTATATCTCATAAGTTATATTTTTAAATATAAATTTACTCATTATTCTCTAAAATTGAAATTTAAAATTATATAATCTCATAGCCTAAATAATCAATACTAATAAAGTCTTAAAATTTCCTAAAATAGAAACAATTAGCTCTAAAAATTGAATTTAAAATTTTCAAAGAAAAATTAACCTTTCTTTTAAAGTATTTTCTGAATTAACTTTCTTAATTTATAACTTAAAAAAATTTCATACTTTCTTCCTTCACATGCGACTCATGCTTGCCACATCCTCTTTCCTGCACTCGCCTCCCTTGCTCGCTGATCAATATGGAGTCGTAACTCACATGCACGTGTCTTCCTTCTTCCTTGTTTCGGCACTCACCCTCTCGATCTCTCTCATTCGTTGCTCAAGCTCATTCCATACTCCATTTTCCCTTTCTTTCTCTCTATTTCTTTCCTTCTCCATCTTGGTTGTTACCTTCATTCGCTTATTTGATTCCACTAAAGTGAGTGAATCAAAGTTATCTCCCACAAGGAGACACTACTTTTCGCATTTAAACGCTTTTCCTCGCTCATTCGCATGATTTGATTTAGCTAGCTACACCAGCATCCGTGGTTTTGCTCGCTCGACTCGACTGCTTCATCTATTGCTTCGCTCGTAATTTGATTAGGACAGGTTCAATTGAACTGTCCAACCGGTTCTTACAAATGTGCCCACATTGAAAGCAAAGATGTGGGAGACCCTCATATTCAATTCTTTGAAAAAAAATTCTCATTTCTCCGGTTTACCCAAAATCTTGGCGGAAGCTTTTGTGTCAAATCAATGCGCACACAAACTCTTGCGTAAGAGTTTTGGCCCCATGAGCTGGTTTGTTTATCCATCCATAACGGTCCACCCACCATAGTGATCATTCAAACAATATTAGAGGGATCCCAATACATGAGTGAAAACTTTGGAAATCTGATCCAAATGGGAGAACACAGCCCCTGCATATCATCAAGTGAAGAGGAAGGTGTCCACTAATCCAAACCAATGATATTTCTTTCCACTAACCGTAATCCACCCTTAAGGATCGTGTCACATACCTCAGAGCTTTGAAAGAGGCAAATGAAGCAATTGGGAGCAATTGTGATTAATTGGAACTCACCCACATGTGACCACCTCTAGCTGAGTTCACGATGCAGTAGAGAATATGGTATTCGCTTGCCTAACAACTTTCCAATTAAGGCTTTTTCCAATTTAGTGATATTCTCTTGGATCGTTTCATCATTTAAGTTTAAAGAGAACCCATAGTCCACTAACACATCAGCCTTATGATGCTTGTTGAGTTGGGTGCAGGAAGGCATCCTCCAAGCAAAATGACCAGGAGTGCGATCATCAAACACTTTGGGGTTGTTTGCTGCTTGCTAACTACTTGACAAGTTGCTGAAAATTTGCATCTGTATCCATTAGAACATTTATACAAACACCTTTTGTGCACTGACCTGGTTGAATTGTGTCATTAAGTGCTATTTTAATAGGAGATCCACACCTGTTTGGAGCTTCATAGAGCTCATTCACAACCATTATGACCTCCATTTCATTAGAACCAACACAAGTGAAATCTGGGTGTTTGTCTACACACGAGACGTTTCCATGCATTGCACAAACCTGTTCAAAGTGTACAGGTTGTTCACAATCCACCATTTGCTTGTCAATTATTTCCTTGCTATTGTGCAAAGCAGTCAAGACTTCCATTTGCTCAAACCAAGTAAACCCGTGCAGCACTTGAGGCACGAACTCAGCTGGTTTGACAGCCTTGAGCTAGCGAAGATGATGTTGGTCGCAATCATTAGCATTGGCCGCAAGTTCGGAATTGTAATGCAAACTACTGCTTGTGGGCTGGAGTGACATCCCGTCTGAATTGTGCAAGTCATCAAGAGCGACAACTACTTCGTCATTTGCAAGTTTACAATCCACATGTAGGTTGTAATCTTCACGTTAAGGAAACCAAACAAACATGTTAGAGAAATTGCTTGAATATAGTCGTAGAGCCACACTTTTAATCGATGATCCGTAAGTGACATTGAAGGTGGCAACCATTCTTGCAGCCATTCATTTTGTCCTGTAATTGTTACAATGTGATTGGAGTTGTCTTGGATAGGCTTGGATTATCTTCAACATAAATTGAAGGCAATATAACTCTTGTGGTTATGCAATAGATGATGTTGGGATTGCCAATTGAATCGAACAAGGAACTTGAGCGGGTGCTTGGATTGCTAATTGGAATGGAGCAGGAAAGGATGTGTTGATATCCGTTTAAATCACACAAGGAACTCTAGCAGGTTTTTTCAAATTTTTATAGATTTGAATGCATTGCAAAGCTCCTACCATATTTCGATGAATTAAAAAAACACATGACACAACTTGGATCTTAATAATGTGGGAGAGTTGTGGCCTCGTGGATTTCTTTTTCAACAAGCTAAGTTATGAGGTGACTATTGTTCATATTTTACTTTGAGCCTAGGCAACCTTTAATTGATGTCACGAATCATCTCCCAATTTTTTTTTTCAATTATGTCAAGGTGTTATGCCTCATGAATTTCTTCAGCCATTGTGTTGAATACTTTGATGCAAATCTAAATGCTGGTAGACATCAATTTTGAAAGTAATGGCGAAGATGTGATGGGGGAGTGGATCTAAAAGATGTAGGCTTGGCGATGGCTTGTGGGATTAGGCGAAAGTAGCATATGAGCATTCAGCCCACTAGGAGGGTAGAAGCGAATGAGTGGAAATGGCATTGGGAGGCTTGGCAAGTTGGATCTGAGTTCAGTAAAATGAGCACACGATCACAAAGGTTGGCAAGGATTAGCATGGACATGCATGAGCGACGACAAAGTTACACAAGATCAATAAGTTCATGAACATGTTACATTCATTGTGTTCAAAATGGGTAACCGATGAGAGTTTGGATGCGAGCGTTGCAATGGGGCGATCTGAGATCAATGTTGAAAGGTGCATGAGCGTGGAGAGGGCATTGAAAGACTTAAAGCATGGATGAAGGTGTGCAAAAAAGTGTGGATTTTGGATTATGGCTTGAACACAACATGATATTGCAAGTGGATGTATGGATTTGAGCAAAGGTTTGAGAATAGAATATGAGATCTAGAAGGATCATAGGAAGCAAGACTGTCAATGTTAGCATCTACGCCATGAGAGTCTAGAGGAAATGGGATCTAGAAGGGTCAAGTGTGGGATCTGTAAGATGAGTACAAGGGAGATGATGGTTGAATGCTCTAGCAATGAACAGCAATCTAGATCATCAGGGTTGATGCTAAAAGGATGTTGATGGATACATAGCGAGGTGCCAGCAAAGGAACATTTGTTCTATGTGTTTGTGTTTTTTATAGTAGAGACGCAGCAAATGAAAGATGAAACGATCGACAATAGTCTGGTATTTACCAATTGATACAAGGACTTGGATGCAGTAAGAGAAATCAAGCTCTAAATTTGGATTGAGATCGTCGTAGACAAAGATAAAGCACCCAATCTCAACGAGAATGCCAATTGTTATGACCTTGAAGGATCGAGGGATAAAGGGCTTATTCAAATTGTTAACAAACCTACAAAAAGGGGGATTGAAAAGGGGGAGGGGGTATTTAAATTAAGACAAGGATAGATAACTAACGTTTCTCAGTTTCTCCACACTTCCACTCTATAAATGCATCAAACGATCGCAACTGCAAAGTCGGTAGAAGTTAAAGTGAATCGCGAATACGTGAAGTAATAAGAAATAAGCTTTTTTACAGAAAGATTGCCGATACTCATCAAATACTAATTCGCTCAATCACCCAATCAAGCAGTAAAGTTTTCAAGAGAAAAAGAACATGGAAACACAAGAGTCCTACAAAAAAAAGGTACATAGGAGCACTTACGCCATTGCTGCGATAGTAGTAATTTCAATCTGAAAGAGATTTAGTACATTCGGCGGCGGAGAGATGAGTTAGCGGAGAGATGGTAGTCTGGCTAGGGTTTTAGAAGAAGAGTTAATGGCGATAATATAAGGTGACGGCGCCGTTAGACCGCGAAAGAGTGATCGTCCAAAATTTTCTAAATAACCAATAGAAAATGCTAGTATTTAAGTATTTTTTTAAGTTAATATTCAAATTTTAAAAGAAATAAAATTTTAAATTTTTTGAATTTATATGCACCATAATATTCAAAATTATAGAAATAACACCCTTATTTTAATTCTACGGAATAAAATTATATAAATATAGGGGTGTCAATATTTGACACGATCTGAAAACCCGACCCGAAAATTTCGGGTTAAGTTCAACCCTTTTGAGAAATGGGTTGGGTTCGGGTTCAACAAACCGATCCATTTCAAAAATCGGTTTGACTCGGGAATGACTCGGATTACTGGCGCTAATCGCGCATGCTCATCTGTCGCGTCTACCCGCTGCCCGCGCATACTCACTCGTCTGTCTTCCTGCGTCGCGTATGTCTCCCTCCTGCTTAGCATCTGCCCACCCGCCTGTCTGCCCTCCCATTGCCGGCACTGCCTCGCCTCGTCATCCCATGTCCAACGCGGTGACGCCTCCTTCGTCGATTTGCCATCACTAGCGCTACCTTGCCTTGTCGGAGTGGTCGTAGTTGACATTTCAGGTTGGGTCAACCTGGTAACTCGACGGGTCGGGTCGGGGTTTGTATTTTCGACCTGTTTGCAAAACTATGTCGGGTTCGAGTCAACCCGTTTGAACCTAAGTCAGTTTCATATTCGACCCGAATCCGAATTTGACACCCCTACATAAATGTCCATTTCATATCAAAATAGCAAAGCATTTATCTATTCCTTAAGCATGTCATGATTAACATTGGTTAAAATAAGATTTAAATAAAATTCAAATATAATTTCTAACATTAGAATATAGTATTATCATATTAGACACAATAGTGTATAATTTAATAACTATAACACATTAAATAGTGTAACATTATTGTATAGAACCTATAAACTCACAATTAGTTGTATTTATATTAAATAAAATAATTATAATGTTGTAACAACAATACTATGAATATAATTAAAACATCTATAACGTAGCTGGTCCAATAAAGAGTGCAATCACAATAGTTATGAAATAATAATTATTATTATTATTATTAGCAAACATATCACCAATAATACAATGCAAATTATAAGAAATGAGCACATAAGCCACAACACATACAATAAATTACAGTTACCCAATAAACACAACACATATCTTTTGCAAGTATAGAATGATTTCATAAGCATAGACATAGCTCTCCTTAGCCTATTGGTTGGGAGCTTAGGCTTCCAACTAACAGGTCTAGGATTCGAGTCTATGTGCATGCGTTGTGTGTGTGAGTTTGCCTTAAATGGCCTAAATGTCCAAAACAAAAATTTCATAAGCATAGTACTATAGTAACATTACATATGTAATTATAATGAACTCAGCTGGGGCTAAGAGTGTAAATGAGTCGAACCGGCCAAAACTCAACTCTTTAACGAGCTCGGGAGTCAAGCTTATTGAGTCATAACTAGAGCTCGAGCTCAAATTTGAGTTTGATTATACTCCGTTCATCAGGTTAAATAAACTACATATTAAAAATTGATATTAAATTTTCATTTAGTTAGTAAAAGTATAGGATTTGAAAGAGCTACACAACAGTGAAGCTTTCCTAAGAAAATTCAACACCATTAATGTGTCTATACATCTTTTCCAAAAGAAAAAAACAGCTTTTATTTTGAAGTGAATTGAACAGGTTATCTTCTTTTTAGAGATGAGCATCATGAGACTACTTCATTCTTCAGTAATTTCTAGCTGCAACTTCCTTTAGGCAAAGCAGGTTGCTGTCGCGACTTCCACCGGTGAAGCAAAACTAACGCCATGATTTCTTTTGGCAAAGCAGAAATCTGGTGATGACTACATTTGAGTCAAGGTCTCAAACAGAAGAAGGAATGCTCAACCCAAGTTTGAGTTTTTTTTTTTAAGGGATGAGTTGAGCTCAAGTTTATTGTGACTCGAGATCGATTTGACTCATTTGCACCTCTAATTGAGGCCTTCTTGCTTAGGGTCATGGTCTTATAGGGTACTATATCTCTCTTCAACCATTGTAGTTTCCTTTCTCATGGCATCCTACATTATGGTTATAAAAAAAATACATAATTTGAGGCAGCAGAGATGGTTTACTGACCACAAGAGTTTTAAAAATATTTTTAACCAACAAGAGTTGATTTTGAGGCGGCGAAGATGGTTTGAACTGATTAAATATTTTGATTTGGATATCCAGTATTGTACAAGAAAAGCTAATGTGCTGGTTGATGTCCTTAGTAGGTGGATAGGCCAATTGGATGCTAATTCAGGAGAATGAGTTGATCACATATTTGGTAGCATTAGTATTAGAAGTGCTTAGCCAAAAGGATGGAATCCATTGTATCATATTTCAAATGTCAATGAATCCTACTATGGAAGAAAGAGCTCAGGAGACACATAAATCAAATGAGGACTATCGAAAGTCGAGGAATCAGATTCAATTAAGAAGAAGGTAAGATCTCAGCCTTGATGATCAAGCCTCGATCAGATGTAAAGGATGTCTTCGGGTCCCGAGAGATTCTAAATTGATTTAGGAAATATTGGTTGAATGAAAACTAGTAGTGGACAAGGTCCTCACTAAAAAGATTCCATGAGAGCAAGTGGTTGGCAAGATCATTACTCATTCAAAGACTTTATAAGACTAAAATTCTTAAAAGGCACAGATATATCAAAGTCCTTGAAAGGTAAAAGCCTCAAAGGCACAAGAACATCAAATACCCCTTAGAAGGCTAAACCCCTCAAAAGGCATAAGTACATCAAAATTTATTTTAAGTAATTGTAGCGATGTTGTTTATTTACCATTTTTTGTAACTTGTACGAGAGAAATATGGAATAATTTCCTATCCATTTTTTATATTTTAAGCAAATTCTGTTAAGTCTCCCTCTTTTATGATATCAATTTGCTTATTTTCTATTTCTAGAATTTTTGTCTCAATATCTCATAAGGCTAAAAGTCTTAAAAGGCACAAGTACACTAAAAACCTTAGAAGGCTAAAAGCCTTAAAATGTACAAATATATAAACATCTTGAAAGGCTAAAAATCTTAAAAGATATACACTTCTTTGATTCTCTAAAACCTCAGAAGGCTTTACAAAAGGAATAAATTCCTCTATTCTAGTTGTTCTAACTGGAGAGAAAAAAATCAAAGCATATCTAAATAATGCATAAGAAACTTTGATCATATATAAAGATAAATTACTTCAAGCAAATATCAATCTCATACAAAAATCTTTAAGATAAAGAGAGATGATAAAAAATATTCCATAATATTTTTTTTACATAATCTCAATAACTTCTTCATCACCTGAGAAAACCTTTCTCAACTCACTCTCAATATCGCCATCACCTGAATCTGAAGGAGAATCCTCATATGCCTTGCTAGGGAGTCAACCTTTCAATTGAAACCCTAGTCTCATGCTATAACAAGCGAACTCCGTTTAGGAAACCACAAGCAAAGCCTTCCTCAAGACTCTGACACTTTGAATCCTTCACTTCAACATCAAATAATTTATCATAAGTTTCTCTAATGTGATATTGGATTTCTCGGTAATAGGCTGAAGACTTCTTGAATTATTCTATAGCCTTTAATGATATAGCTTCAATATGAGCTTCAGTTGACTCTAAACGGCAATCTTGTAATTTTGTATTCTCTTTATCAAGAGTTTCTTTGTTAGTCTAAAGGGTACTGTTCTCCACTGCAACAATCTTCAAAGCATTCTTCTACTGAGTTATCTTTGCACAATCTTTAATCAACTCATGGCACGAAGATTAGCTGCCTAATTTTGAAAGCAAAAAAGCTAAAAAAAAAAAGAAGAAGAAGAAACTCATTAGTAAAACGACCACAACATTGCTGATTTCTGAACATTACAAATACCAAAACACACTTCCAGTTTTTGCCTAAAGAACCAAAAAAAACATCCATTTGCAGGATACATCACAACTAACCACTACTCCACAACACAGAGGCAAAGAACTTAGCCAAATGCATAAAAAACTAAACTGCTACAGAGTTTCACCATTTAACTTAGATAACGCTGCAATGGAACTTTGCTCATATGACTTCTCCCAATTTCCACCATCAAACAATTTGACCTCAACATTTGAAATTGTCCCATCATCAACACACTTAACAGTGACGGCGATACCGTCGGGGTTCGACCTCGGTATGTAGAAAGAGGTTATTCCACAGATCTTACAGAACAGGTGTTTTGCTGTGTGGGAGCCAAAGGTATAGGTAGTGAGATATTGTTCAGAATCTCCAATTAGTTTGAATCTGGAAGATGGAACAATAAAGTGAATGTTGCCTCTCATTGAACAATTTGAGCAGTTGCACTGCCATACTACAACACTTGGAGGAGCTTCAACTTGCCATCTTACTTTCTTGCAGTGGCATCCCCCACTGTGAATAATAGTTCCAGAAGTCATTAGCAAATATTGATCTGTTGTTCATAAGCTTAATGTAAGTAGTAATAAACATTTGTTAGTAAAAGTAAACAATAATTAAAATAGATCAATTAGGGGGCACAAATCGGCACAAAATGAAAAGTAGATTTAAGCAGAAATAAGCTTTTGTTAAAAAGACAGGTTAGTGTTAGAATGAATTCTTGTTTAGTAGATTTAAGCCCAATAAGGCAAGTTCGATGGCCATCCCTTCAGTTCATTCACAGCAACTCTTTTAGTCTAATTATGGAAAATCTATCGTCACAATTTTTTTTTTTTTTTAAATTTTGGCCAATTAAGGCAGACTCGCACACACAACTCATACACAAAACTCGAACCCAATGTCTCTTAGTTGATTGTCTAAGCTCCCAACCAACAGACAAAGATGAGCTGTGTGTATCGTCACATATTTCAAAAAGGATTTTGAAAAAGAAGCTTAAACATTCATGTTTTAGTGGGTACATTAGCTAAGTAAAGACACAACTCTATTCACAGATCTATGTGGAAGGAAATTCTTAATCAACCAAGGAAATTTCTCAGCCAACAGATGATCACAGGTACACACAGGTTTAATCCCTGAGCTTTGAAAAATATTGATTCACTGATTAAAAAAAAATTAAGTTAATACTTGATGTAGAATTACTTAACTTACTTTACATGAATTATTTACAAAGCATTTTTTAAAACATCATAGCAAGTTAAATGCAGCTAATATTACTGCATTTAGAATTTTGGTGTTCTTGACATAAGAGAAAAACTATGCTTCCTAAAATACCAACACAAAAAACTAATTTCATATAACAGACACAAGCTCTTTGATGTGGTAGTCAATAAAAACTCTTCAAGCAAATGTGGATGAAAACTTCTAAACTTGATTGTCCACCCTTAAAAGTGAGTTCCAAATGGTTTTTATATAAATTTTTTTGGGGAGTATAGCATTCACTAGTTAAACAACCCTTTAAGGGAAAAAATTGTGTTAGCTGCTCAAGATGAATTCTGCATCAGAAATGCAAGACATGAGCAAAATAGATGCAACTCATCTTGGTCTATTGGTTAGAGCGCCTCCAGCCGAAGACCTAACACTCGTTTGGTGTCTCTGGTTTGCTTCATTCGATCCCAAAAAAATGTTATTCATGTGAGGATAAACAGTGTGAAGTCAACTGTTCCCTGCTATTTTTTTTTAATCCGAAAATTAGTTTAGAAAATATAAAATAAAATATGAGAAAGATTATACATATAATATTCTTTTTTAGGTTTTAGAAAATTGAATTTGGTTGGAAACAAGTTAGTGCATTTTGATGTATTACTTCATTTTTTAATGAAAATTGAGTTTTTCGGTTGGAGATGGCCTTAGGAGCTTTTGCTACCAACCAAGATGTTTTGGATTTGAGTCTTACATACATGATGTTTGTGCGCCCACAAAAATAAAAGAGCAAAATAAGACATTTGCTCAGGAAAAATCATTCATTTGTAAATTAACTACAAGAAAACTATTTTACACAATAAAATGACACTCAAAACACATTGTTCTGAGGCAATATTGTACTGACTACTATTTCTAATCAAAAGTCCTTCAGCTTTGATCATTTTTGTTGCGATTCCTCAGCAAAAACAAATAATAACTAAAATGGTACATCCACTTTATGGCTGATTTTCATGCAGCAACTCTTTTTGAATTTCATAATAATCATTCGAAAAAGGATTTTGAAAAGTATCTTTAAAAGGCCAATCACGCCGTAGTATTTCGGAAGTCTAAGCATCTCAAACGAGAGCGGAAGAATGGAAGAAAGAACAAACAGGAAGAGAACGGCAAATATAGGAGGGAATAAAGGGGATTTAAGAAGAACGGCTCACCTGTCTTCAAGGAGGCGAGGAGATGGGAAGGAAGCTCAGGAAGGGCAGTTGGCTGCTTGATCGAAACAGATGTAAAACTGAAGCTGTGAAGGGATCAAGGGATGTTTTTGACAAATATTAATTGTTGAGGATTTTATGGCATTATCTATAGGGGTGTAACCGAGTTGAGCTCGAGTCAAATAGTGTTCGAGCTCGAACTTGAGCTCAAACTCTAGTGGAGCTCAATTTTACAAATATTAATTGTTTAGGATTTTATGACATTATCAAGGGGTTTAAACGAGCTCGAGTCAGTTCGAGCTCGACTCGTGAGTCAAATATCGAGTCACATACGCCCCTAGCATTATCACCTCTTTACAACGACGTGATAAGACTAAAGAGGGAAATGCGTTAAAATGAAGATTCTATAAGCAAATTTAATTTTATTAAAAAAAGTTAATGGTTTAATTATAATTATATAATTTTTTTTTTACTTACAAAAATCATATAAAAGATTTTATAATTTGAAATATATGGCTCAAAAATTAAAGAAATTTTTTATAAAATAATACATCGTGTCTAGAGCACTTCAATGAATGTAGTTTGTATAACAAATACATGATGGCTCTAATAAAATTACTTGTATTAACATTAATTTGAAGAGATTGTATCATATTTTTTAGTCAAATATTTATAAAATTATTAAAAGACAAAATAAATTGAAAATACTTCTTGATAGGCATATTAGAACATAAATTAAATAAATATATATTTATATAAATATATTGAAAACAAATAGATATTCCATTGCATTGTGGTTGTTTCCTAATTAAAACTAAATATATGGATATTATAATATATGTGAAATTTCACTAAGTGCAATTGTCATAACTTGTATGACTTTGAGATGTCAATATTATTTGACAATAGGTAGGAACTTTTCTCTTCTAAAGCTTCTTGGAGCTGGGCCATTTTAAATTTTAAGAAAATATATAATTTAAATAATATCTATATGTATAATTTGATGAATATTTTATTTCATATTTGTTAAATCTATATTTGTCTATGAATGATATCATAATCGTACACGCACGATACATTAGATTCTAGTGAAGAAGAGGAATCCAAGAAAATAGAGATAGAAATATGTTAAAGGAAATTAAAGAATTCTAGAGTGAGAAGCTCTAAGATTTCTGTAAAAATAAACTTGAGTATAAAAAATCCTCTCTCTTCTCTCTTATCCTCTCCCCCAAAATGGCCCTTTGACCCTTTTATTTATAGGGTTTTGGATGTTAAAGAAAATGCTAAATCGAAGTAATTCATCTTTAAAAATAATTCGTGTGAATTAAAGTGTGTTGCTAAGTGAATTTAAGATAAGGATACATGTGAATGATATCTCATTGGGATTAGATCTTAATGGGTTTTGACTAATCAAAAAAGATTATCGACAAATTAGTTGAGGCTGTCACATGAGTCAGCCACTTGAAGGGCAAATTCAATCACCCAAAGTCAACCATTTGAGGGTGAAATTGGGCACCTAAAGGGTGAATTTGACCAATTGAACTCAACCACCTGAATACTGAATTTGATTACTTAATATCAACAGGTTGAAGGGTGAATTTGGCCATCTAAAGCCATGCACCTGAAAGGGTGAAGTTAACCATATGAATGGTGAAGTCGTCCATATTAATGATGAAGTCGGTCATCTAAACTAGGTATATGATATTTGGATATACATTTAGTTCCCTAACTCTATTATATCTTTGAAGAGAAACTTGCAAAAAGAACAAAAGCATAAATTAAAATATTTTTTGAGTCAATTAATTTTCATTTTGATTTATTTATTGAGTCAATGATAATTATATTGATTCATTTATCTTTTTTTAATGAATTTATTAAATATTTCATTTTCTTGATGAAACTCAAATTCAAAACCAAGTATAAAAGGTGTCTTCATCAAGCACTGGCTGCCCATCTACTTGTGGGTCTTTGGTCTCTTATAAGGAATTCCTAGGGGCCTTAGCTCACTCCTATAAAGAGTAACCTGATAGCTTTATGACTTGAACCTATATAGAGATCACTCAAATCCCACGAGTAATTTATTCTACTTTTTTTTTTAGCTGACCAAGTAGTAATTTTCATAGATTATTCTCTAACATTGTCATGCCCCAGGGTCTAATAGAAGAATTAAAACCCAATCCTAATTATCTCATCCTTAATACTTAACATATGAGAGCTGAAAGATATACAAAATAATAATTCATATTTTCTCCAAAATAATCATTTACAACATTTCATAATACATGTAAAACATCAAAATACATAAATGAATACTTGACTATCAAAAGAATAACTTTACCTAGCTCTCGACGGACTCCAACTTTATCATCTTCTACTCAGTTGAACTTTTTCCTTTTTCTTGATATGATTCATAGAGTAAACAATTACTTGCTCAGTAGGATATCCCAAGTCCTATCAAGGAAATCAAAATCCACATGTGCATTCATATAAATAAACAATTTCACAAATTTTTTAAAAAATAATTTTAAAATTAATAGAGGATAACTCTATCATTCATGAAATATTAAGATTAAGTTCATTTGTACTTATATGTTTAACTTTATCAGAAGGGTGTCATATACATTTCTTAAATATAGACATGTATTAGAACATAAGCTTAAACATAACTTGAGTATCACTTGAACTTGCTTATTAACATAAAAAACATTATCTTCACCTTAAACATAACTTAACTTTGGACATAAGGTTAATATTAATTTTTTTAATAAATTGGTAATGCATCATATGAAATGTGATATGCATATGTCCTAATGCTTGCTTATAACTTCACTTCCACTTATACATCTCTTGATTAGTCCACACCTGTACAAGATAGGTGGAGTTGTATTAGCACAATTTCCCTTATAATTCCACTTCTACATATAACTCCCTTAATCATCTCACACGTATAAAAGGTAGACGGAGGAACAAATATAGAGATATATACATGCAAGGGCCCTTGTAATATTACTTGTAGTGCACTTGAACATCTCTCACATTAGAACTTTAGTCATATGAATACGATATGAACATGAAGATATTAACTTGTCTAACACATGCATATAATATTTAACATGTATATGAGCATACATGAATTGCCATATGTACGATATTTCGAGAGAAAACACGTGAAATTTATGAACATACTCAACATTTTACCAATATTAAAATTATTCATAGGGGACATTTAAAATATTATTTTAAAGTAAATGATGAATTGAAGCCAATACAAAATAAGTCACAAACATCACAATATACCAAAAATTTTACACAAACTAAATCAACCAGTGAGAATTTGCTTGCATACTATTAAAATACTCAAAATGGAATACTCTACAATATACTAAAATCTACATGGTGAAAATTTTCTTAAACTTAAGAAAATCACATTTCATTTCAAATCCACTCATACAAACATTGAAATTAAAATACAAAATAAGGTATTATATCTACCTCGAGCATAACATTTTTCTTAATAGGCCCAATGAATGAATTTGACACCACGACCTTTGTAATTTATCCCTTTTCTTTCTCTTCTTCCCTCCCTCTCTTCCTTCTTCGGCAATTGAGACTGAAGTGACTATATATATAATTTTTTTATACAACACCATGACACTCCCTTTCCTAGTGTCGTAGCTCTCCCTCAAATATTTCAAATGCTTTAAGAAAGAGAATACATCACTGCAGTGTCCTCACAAGTGGCGTAGTGCTTCCTAAAATATCTAGAGAGTAACACCATAATGCCACCATACACAGCACCACTACGCCCCCTCAGCTAAACTTTCCCCCAAACAGAGAGGGCAGTGCCATAACACCATGACATACAATACTTTAGTGCTCCCAAGAGGCCCTCTGCACTTGACTATTCTACTCTTTTTAAATTAAATTTTCTACAATTTTATACTTTAATAAGCACTTATTAACTTAAATTTTCAAAAACACTTAAAACATACAAGGGAAAACAAGAACTTCTTACCAAGTTTGAGTTGGGATGGCTTGTTTATGTTAGTAGGAGTTATTATATTCTTCCCTCCTAATAGAAAATATCATCCTTGGCATCTAAACAAGAAAGTACTTAGAACAAGTTTGGATATAAGTGTCTCATTTTTGCTTCTTTCTCCTAGGTTGACTCTCATTCTAACCTACATTTTCATTGGATTTTAACTATATAAATTTGTTTACTTCTTAGTTGCTTTACATCATAGGCCAAAATGTGTTCAAGTTCTTCCCTAAAGGTTAACTTGGGTTGTACTTCAACTTCAATGTTAGGGGCTCTATGCTCTAGATCAAAAACTCACTTCCTTAGAATTGATACATGAAATATATTATGAATATCTAACAAATATATAATCAAGAAATAATAGTTTGTAAGCAAATTTCTAACTCATTCAAGCACTTTAAAATCTTCAAAATGATCGATATATCTTGGACTAAACTTGCTTTATTTACCAAACCTGCTTACTCCTTTTATTGGAAAACCTTTAAAAATATGAAATCACCAACCCAAAACTCCACAGCTTTATGTAGGGGTGTAAGTGAGGCAAGTCGGCTCGAGCTCGACTCGTTAATGAGCTCATGAGCTGAGCTTATAGAGCCATGAGCTCGAGCTCGAGCTCAAACTTGAGCTCACTTGTTAAACGAGCTCGAATTTGAGGTTGATAAGGTACTGCTCGTGAGCTTGCGAGCTTGCTAAATTAATTAAAAAAAATAAAGATGAAAAATAATCTTATTTATTAATTTATGTAAATCAAAAGTAAATTTAGTATTTTTATGAGATTATCTATATTTAAAAGATTTGAAATGTAGTTAAAAAAAAATACTTTAATGCAATTATTATATATATGCTGCTTTTCACCCAAAATATTTTTTTCCCAAAAATGTTTTTAAGGCGGCACTTCTAAAAAGTAACATAAAAAGCTAAAAAGCTTGCTCACGCTATATCTACACATGCTACTGTACTTCTTCTACGCATCCATGCTAGCTTGTCTAGACTGTATTGTCACTTCCAAAAAAAAACCTCCATTTTTCTTCTTCTTCTCCAATGGGATGATCACTAGCACGCTG